ATTTCTGTGGTCAAACAATTTTTCCAATATAAATCCAATTGAGAATGTTTGTAGTTTATTTAAAATTCTTGTAAACAATTGTACGCTACTACATTAGCTAATTAAAAAAAAAAATTGAATCTTTCGCAAAAAACATTCATGCATACGAAGCATGCTGAAAAGAATCAAAGTAAAATGAAGAAACACAAATTATTAATGTATATATATACGCGCGCGCGTATGTATGTGTGTGTGTGTATTTTAATGGAAATTAAGAATTTTATTGAAACCACGAAAAATGTTGAAAATTGTGAGTCTTAATTTTTTGATCAGCTGTATGTTTTGTATTGATCGTAAAAAATGTTTAATTCTTATGCGATACATTTGATCAAAAATTGCAAAATTAGATTATTCTATGCAAAATCGATTTTTTCGACTTTAACATCAGGAATTTTCTTCAAACTCGGATATGTAGATCATATGAAATTACAAATTTTAAGTCTTTTTTAAACTCACTTACTAGACATTACATAGTACCAATTATAAGGTTTAAATCATTATTTTGCTGATTCCAAATTTACTCAACAAATATGAAGTTTTGAATTATGCAATTTATGCAGATTTTCACTAGATCGGCCTGGATTTATGATTTAATCTTTTTTGAATAAGATGTTTTTTTTTTTTATATAATTTTATTTTAAAGAAATTTGCAGAAAAAGAATTTATTTAGAAAAATAATAATTGTATTTGGATTAGTTGGATTTAACAAATAATTTAAATTAAAAATCCATAAGATAATATAGATTTCCTGAATGTAAATGAAAATTGCAAAATACAAATTTTTTTATTTTTTAAACAAATTTAAAAAATTAGAATTGCTCGCAAATTTTATTATTAATTAATTTATCACATTTGAAATACAAAATATTTTAACCAAAATATCGATAATATTCCAAAATAAGATAGTATTTTAATTAAATAATATTTAATTAAATAATATATAAATCGTTGTTATAAATTTAGTTACGTGATAAACATGGCAATGATCGAAGCATCTATTTACTTTTTTACCTCGACTCAAACTCAAGATTCGATATTTCGTGAATCATTTGTATTAAAAGTCAATGAACGAATTCATTTAAATGATAAATAGAAAGAAAAAGATAGATATAAAGGATATGAAACAATCTTATATTGTAACACTACTTTTTCAGAGAGTTCACGGTTCCATTTCGTTACTGAGACCGATTACATTGAATAAAACATAGCACGAAAAATAACATATCAGAAAATTTATATTTCAAGACGAAGGGATAAGAAGAGCTTTGTCCAAAAATTTAGGTCATCGTGTTAAATTCTATTTCGTTTTAATGAAACTCAGAATATTTTCTTTTTGAATTTGCAAATCTCATTTGGATGTTTAATAATGATACTTCTATTAAATATTGAATAATATTGGAGAATTTAATGCACTTTAAACATAACAGATTGTATTTGTTTTTTTAAACATTCTGTAATGACCGTACCGGTATTTTTAACATCTCGTTCAGATAAAGGGACATAATGATGAAGCAACGTACACATAAAAATTCATTGAAATATTAAACGAATATCTCAGTGTTAGCTAATCTCGAAAGAAACAGAAATTTTTGCATGAAAGTTAGTATCTTTTCTTTCTATCTTTGGAATAATTTTTTATATTTTGGAATTTTGAAATTATTTTTAATTCCCTAAAAAGAACTTCAATTAAAAATCTATAGAATATAAAAATAGAGATATCTCATAAATCGCAACAACAATCTCATTCAGAAACATGGTTATTGTTAGATGTGGACACATTGCTGCAGACAGTGTACATATATTGTCCGTGAACAGTTGGATGATGACACTAGATATGCATGTAAACTGTTTATAGTTAATGTCTCTTACTCTAGACGAAGTAAAATTTATTTTATGATATCTATTTTACATTAAAGATGTAATATTTTTTATATTATCAACCCCTATCATAATTGAACTAAAGAGTTATCGGTAGATAATTCTTTTAAAAACAAATTAGATATATTATAATGGTAATTCGTATTGGTACTATATGTTTAACATCTCTACATTACAAATAACATAATAATATGTAATATAATAATAACATAATAATAACATAATAATAATTTCATGTAATTTGTAAAAATCATAAAATTTATTATTAGTAAATTATTATGGATCCTGTGAAACAAATTTTATAGAACAAATATTAGAAATTAATTCATAACGATCTATTGTATTTAAATTGTATTATTAATTTATTTTAAATCATCGATTTAATTATTTTCATAAATTTTCTGTAAAATATGTATATGTTTATGATATAAGTGTTTAGGAAGAAAGCATGTTCCACGACAATATTTACATGCACAAACTAACCAGATATCATCAAAGATCAACACACAGTATATAAAGAGAATAAAGAAACAATGATCCCTATGCGTTTTTAAACAAAAAATAATTTGAAAATAAAAAATGCAGGCAATTACCATCGATTCTTAAAAATTTCATAGAGAATTGTATAGAATATGAAAATACGTGTATACATTACAATTATCTTGCAATTTAAATATGCTATTTAAGACTATAGTTTATCGAAAGAATCAAATAAATAAATTCTTAAGATTTTAAAGACATGTTTCGTTGTTCAAATGATTTATGGATTTGTCTCATAAACATTTTGAAGTAATTTTTAATCCTCTTGAAAAAATGGAACGCTCCAAAACGAAATATGCTAATTTAAGCATATTTATATCAAATACTTAAAAGCGTTATTCGCAACAAAATAAACATCTATAGATATTATTTGCAAAAAGTTAAATTCAGATTAATTTAATTTTGACGAATAAATAACTTTAATCGTATAATTTTACAATGTAACTTTCCTCAATTTATTCAGATAATCAATATTTTTTATTTCTATATTTTTATCACATATTCCTAAACATATGAATTAACCGTATCATTGTACTGTATGCTAATAACCTATTCATATTACGATAAGTAAATCATTTACCGAATCAATTGCTGTCTTTTGTAATATCACACATATATTTTATATATAAACACGTATATTTTATATATATCAAATCATCAATTCATTTATTTTTGATATTCGGTTCTATCGGCGATCGAAACGATCACCGAATTATTATGTGAATAAATTGTAAAATAAAATTATGCAGATATCCCAACAGCATATTTATATTAATGGTCTTTATTCTTTTATACATATATGAGAAAAAATCGTGCAAAATACAAAAAAAAAATAGATAGAATTATTAATTATGAATTATTTCGTGTTACAAATAATTTACAAGTAAATCCAAAAAAGTTAAATGATTTTTAGTGGAAAGTGATTTTTATGGAATCATGTGAATACTATTTTAGATGAAATAATCGAATCTGAACTATAAAATGTATCCACCATATCCGCGATCTAAAGAGGATAGTTCCGTTTCAAAGTCGAATCCTCAAATTATCGTGTCGAGTAGCAAATAGTGTATATAAATGAAAAATTCTGCAATTCAAATATATAAAAAAAAAGTAATTCTAAGAAAAAAAATTCACACACTTTACAGTTTTTCAATTACATAAAATTAAACTAATATGCAGAAGGGAAAAAGAGAAAGAATAATTAAAGTTAGCAAAAATCTAACTTTCTCATAAAATCGAGTGATTTCATAATTATTTCAAAACTGCCTCCATTTGTTCAAAAAAATAAGTTAGCATTATGAAAATAATCATGCTTAGTTCTTCGCTGACAAAAACAATAGAAATTTACAAATCTTGATGAGTTGTCTTCGATATTCTTGATCATGAAGAAAGCATAGAAAACGAAGTGTATAATTATAGTGAAGAATTTTATGTTTCTACGCGCGGTTTCTACGTCGATATCTCTTTAATTATATCACGTTGCAGTTTAACGTGAAAGGATTAATGAACTCATTACGGCCGCTTCTTCTTTTGAATAGAAAATCAATTTCAAAGTTATTCTATTAACATATGCCGATAGGGTGTTCCCTTACCACCGAAGAAAGAAAAAATTTTTTTCATTTTTACGCGATCGCAAGATAAAGGATAAAAGTAGAAAGAATGTAAAAATTAATTTAGCAATCGACACATTTCATTAGTTTGTTCGAATAAAATATTCGAACGCGAAATAAAATTCCAAACGAGAAACAAAAGTAAAATAAAAAAAAAACGTGTTTTTCTATTTTCAAAATTTATCAAATCTAATTATTCCAATAAAATTAGAGCGCGAAAGTTAATAACATCTATGAATATCCAATACGAAAAACGAATTAAAAGAGATATCACACATAACATACATAACGAACAAATCAGTTTCGTGAAATATGGAAAAAATAAAAATTTCAAAAAGCGAAGAAGCGAGGATTGTGTTATCGAAGAATTTTTCCTCTATGCGTTCCATTGCGAAGCGTTTCGTAAATGCGTGACCAATACTCCTCGAAAGATTTAAACTCGTTTATAACGAACACGCAACTTATTTGAAGACCATCAATTGTCATGAAAAATGGATACGTTAGATGGATAAGGTTAGAAATGAAAAAATTGCTTCGTATAACATTGTAGACTTGACGATAACGCACGTGGTCACACATCATATGACATCATATTTACACAATTATAAACATTAAAAAAATAAATAATATTAAACATGTATGGTATAAACAGAAATAATTTCTTATCATGTAATCCCAGTGGTCACCTACAATCGCTTTACTTAAATATTGGACATGAGATACACGAATAATAATCTAACGCTCCTTGGATATCGACGCAATAAAGTACCGATGTTAAATCGATAGGTCAAAATCGAAACTGTTTAATGTTTTGTCTTGTAAAAAGCTATCACGAATGACTCGCGACAATACAATTTTTTTAAGGACATATTAATAATATGGCACACGTGTCCACCGATTGTGCTTGACAAATAAAAACGAATTTGCACTAACCTTGAACGTATCCCAGTAGAAAAAGGGTGCAGAGAATCCAGTTTCGTATCATCGTATTCATGATCCGCTGGCATTTGACACTTTACTCACAGTAGAGTGCACTTCTTAGTCACTAACTGATCTTCATTCGTATCACGACCACATTCACACACTGTGTCGTTGGCACACGGTAATCCACGACTACGTTCACCACGTCGTTACCTCTGGAAAATGGGAAATCGATCGTGATCTCGAATATATCGAGAGGAAGAATCGCAACGTGCGTTAAAACTGGTACGACGCCAGACGACGCACCGTTACCGACCTTCCTCGACGATCAACGAAAGCAAACTGAACCACTGTTCGCTATCCAAGTTCGTATCCACCGGATTCCCTCTCTTCGTCCCGCGTCCGCTCCTAGCGCCACCATACCTGCACTCTATATACCCGAGCCCTCCCCACCATCACCGCGAATCCTGCCCGACACTCTCACCCTCTCTTGGTCGTCTCTCACCCGAAACCCCACTTGACGCTTCCGACAACCCGTTTGCATCGTCTTCCTCGCTCATTTTTCCCTTCAACCCTCTTTTTAACCAACCTTATCGAACCCCGCCAATGTCATAGTCCCTTTTCTTTGCCCTCCCCTTATTCTTAGGCGTCAATTTATCGTGTTTTTTAGATTATCGCGCCATACGAATCATCTCTCTTTCTTTCTCTCTTTCTCTTTCTTTCTAGATGGAGCTCATGCCAATTATCTTCGAACCGCAAAAGGGCTATCTTCCATTGCCTCGAACTAGATTATACACGAGAAACGATTGTTTGTATCGCTATTTTGGCCGATAAGAACCGGCTTTGGGTTGTGCGCAATTTGATAGTGATTCTCCTGTAATTCTCCCGTTTTACGAAATTAGAAGGAATGATACTTTACAGTGTGATTATTAAGAGAATTGATAATGGACTTTGCACGATTTTGTGGTTATCTTTGCAACCATCTACGATAATTTAACAGATCTTCTGTTTATTCATACTACGGTAGGAAAATGTTTTTAATTACACGATCTTTTCTATGATTTCTATTTTTCCTGTAATTTTTATAACAGACAGACATCGTTATTTATCCTCTTTTCTTTCTTCGAAAAGCCATTTTTAATTATCGATTTTCTTGTCAATATTTAATCGATAATCGTTATTAATGTCGATAGAAAACCTTCATTAAATACCTTATAAACTCATTATATTTTTTTTTAAATACCTACTATTTACCAAAGTTTGCTCAAGACTTATTTACTTAATCTACTCTTTTTTTAACCGTAATATCGCGCTATTTTATAGAGAAAGTTGTAAATATTCTTAACTAAAATCTCGATTTCTAAAAATAGCTTGCTGTTGGTAAGTAAATTCATGTATTTGCACGATATTTTGTATTTTATGATTTGAAAATTCTATTTATTTTTCCTTTCCTATATGAAAGAATTTATTATCCGAATTTTACGAAAATTTATATTTGATCCATACCTTCAGGATGGATACCTTTTAGGATGCAATCGATATGTGGAAAGCAGTTATTCCAATTTGTCAACGCTTCTAAATATCATAAATTTCCGATTATTGATGCTCAAATGCGTTTCGATGCTTCAATGTTTAATTTATTTCCGATGTTATCACTAAAGTAAACTAGAAAGGATATTATTCGAATAATATACGATAAATTTCATTTAAAATTAAAAATAGAACGAGAAATAGATGAAAATTTAGATTCAATAAATTTTATTTATTTTTCATTCTATGATTTATTCATTACGATTACTTAAAATATAATTGTACATGATTAAACAGATAAATTTTTAAAACACAGTTTTATTTTGCATTTCAATTATTGTAAAAATATTAAACAATAATTATGTATTTAAAAAAATAATTTTATATTAAATAAGGGAATGTGTTAATAGATTTTCTTTATTAAATGATAATCAATTAAGATTTGTATAAAAATAAAATATGATAAAAATAATAATTCTATTTTAATACTATAAATTTCAATCAATCAACATTTTTGTATACCAATTTTTATGTTTGATTCAATTTCTAGAATTGATTTTCCAAAGTTGTTCCACGAATATATTAAAATCCTTTAGATTAATGCAATGACTGCACGTAGAAACGTTTTAAAATATTCCCAATTTTTATTGGACAAATTCATTGAAAATCCATTATTTATAAAGTATAAAGCGCTTGCTAAAGCTGAATATCCTATCCAAAAATATTTTTATCGATTTTTAAAATGCAAATTTCTTATTTTGCTTATAGAATCTTTCACTTAAATTTTTGAACATTTGTAACCGAAAATACTATAGATTTATACTGGACGAAACACGCAAAAAAAATATAGACAAATAAAAACGATGTATGTTTATACACAACAGACTCTCTATTATTTTGTTGAAGCACTATTGGACCACTGTTAAAAAAATCTTGAATATCGCGTCGATTTTAGCCAATCCTTTCGACCACGCGAAGCCGGTTAGGAAAATTCCAGTATTAAACCATTCGCGTGCATCCATTAACGATTCGTTATACCTTTTTTTCTCCTTTTTTTGTAATTTACGAATTTGGTATTTTCATTATATATCTGGATCGATTCGATAGTTACCTTCTATTTTTCCTCCGCCCTTTATTCGCACAAGGTTTGACAATCTCGAAATAACCGTGGCATTTCGTAGACAATGTCGAGCGTTTTTATCCTATTATAGAAAAATGGCGGTTCCCTGGAATGGGATCGAGGACGATTCCGTTTAAATTTAAAGATCCCCTCGATGACAAGCTTTCAAGAGTGTCTCGCCCCGGAACGAAAAGCGGAATACTTAAAAATAAAGAATTTTTGAGAACCCGATTGTCGATGCAAGAACGGTATTGACGAATTTGTCATTCTCGTTCAATGCTTCGGGTATTTTCTACGCGAATCCTGACGCTGACAGCTTTTTACTGCTTCTCGCGGATTCGATCACGAATCGTTCTTCTTCTTTATTTTTTCCCTTTTCGATCCCGCTTCTTTCATGCCTCGTATGAATTCTCTTAACTCGAAAACGCGTTTAATAGACACGTATCATCTCGGGATATTTATAAGGAGAGACAACAGAACGTTCAATCGTTTAAACAAATTTTGTTCTGCGAAGAGGAGAATTTTCAGTTTTAATTTTCAGTTAAGAATAAATTTTAAGGAAATAAATTTGATCGTGTATCGAGTAATTGAATTCTTGGATGAAATTTGTTTTAAAAATAATTATTTCAAATAACATAAATCACAATCCATTTGATATATTTTAATTCGTATTTCTTATCTGTGATCAATTATATTAATTCTAAGGACAAATATTTTTGGAAATATATATAAACACTTCAATTTTTTAATTGAAAATTTGTTTCTGGAATAACATTTAAAATTAAATGTTGAACAATAAATTTCACAATGGTAATTACGTTATTGAGAATAAGTCAATAGTAATAATATAAAATTATATTTGATGTTGGATGTTGAGAATATATATATTTTCATCAAAATTAAACAATAAGTAACGACGGCAAATAATAAATAATTCATCTCGTAAAACGTCAAATGAATCGTTTAATTGCAAATACCATTAATTTACTTTTCATATGAATTGTTTCAAGTATTTGTAATTTCATAAATACTTTCCAAATAATTTTTTAAAATAATTTTAAAATAATATTACTTAAAATTCCTTTCAATATCTAATATGTGATATTCTAATAATGAATATTTGTTTTCCCTATGCAAAATATTAAATATGAAACTGAATTTTTTATAAAATTTCTGATAATCGATAGGAAATCTGATTTTCTTATGCATAAAAATAATATTCTAAAATATAATATCTATAAATTAAAAATATTAGCAGAAATATACATTAAGACATTGAATATTATATTTGTGAAAAAGATATAAATTAAATCGCAGAAAATATTCTTTTTGATAAAAGAAAGGTATTCAAAATGAATTCCTTTTTACGCATTTCATACTTTTGTCTTTTTTTTTTACTAAAAACAAATTTGTAGGAATCACATTTATTTTAAATGTTATTTATTTAATGTTATTTATTTATAATTTATTTATATTAATTTTAAAGCTAGAAAATATTAGAAATTATTATGTATAGGAAATTTTCAAATGAAATTATTCCTCGATGAGATATGAATGAATTATCGATAACACATAATTCTATATATTGATACAATTTCGATTTTCACAAAAACAAAAATTTGAGCGGTAAAATTATTTTATTTAGAATCATCCACATTTGTAACATCATATGCATAATAAATTTAGTTCATAAACGAAGTATTATATAAACATCTATTTTTTTTTTTTTTACAAGTATTCTTAATTTTTTCCAATGTTTTAGAAACTGATGTTGACGAATAATGTAACAAAAAATTAGGAATTTCTATTTTAATTTATTTTCTATTATCATTAAAATTTCAAGATAAAAATTGACAAATTTTAACAAAATTTTATATTTGGCAAAAAGAAATATAAATATTTTTATTCCATCCATTCGATACATTTTTTCACGTAGAATCTTCCACTGGAGATCCATCCCGTGTATTGTTAACAAAGTCTCGAGAAGAATCCAAAAGTCTTTCTTTCTAAAAATCTATTCACAAAGGCAAGAAGAAGCAAATGTATGTTCGAGATCGTGGAAGCGACAGGGGCGACATCGATCCACGTTCGATTGACGTTTAAGCTTCGATGCGGCTGTGAGCATAACTCCCTTTAAAGTCTATTTATTTCCAATCTCTCCTTCCTTTCACATTCACTCCCCTTTTATATCTCGTAGGAGCAATGATATGCGCTCGGCCAAATCGATCCACAGTAAAGGTTACAAATGGTCGAAGAGGGGGAGGGGGAAGACGATCGGTGTACACACCGATATTTCACCAACCGTGGCCGTTGATCTTTGTTAGCGTAGATCTTATCGCGGAGCCATCGGTCCACGGAAAGGAAAGCTCGGATACGATCGGCTTCTGTTCTCACCGAAACGTGGGGATACGAAAGTCGATAAATAAAAATATGCTTTTCATTTGCATTATATTAAAGCTTGAGCTTGAACGAGGATCCCATTTTCCACGCTGCCAAGTCAATTTCATGCTGGAATCTATCCATTTTATATCCCGTGTGTGTCGATTCTAATGACTGATCGCGTTCCCCTCGTTATTTGATTACAATTTATCCGGATCGAATGAATGTTTCATCGGTGGAATTCTGGTACGGTTTTCTTTC